TCGGCCGAACCAACGGCGCGATCCGGTCGCGCATCCGACACATGCACGACACATCGCACGCTGCGTACACGGAGCTCGTTTCCTGCGGCGCCCGGCAGCCAGCGACCAACTCGGCCCCTCCTCCTCCAAGGCCCGCGGCGCCTCCGCAGACGGCTGCCGGAGATCAAGCGGACAGCCTCCTGCTCGCAGCGCTCCGCTCCTTCAGGGCGAAAAGGGCGCAGGCCGACAAGGTTGAGCCCTACCACGTCCTGCACAACTCCGTGCTGCGGTCGGTTGCGGCCCGCTGCCCGACGAGCCTCGATGAGCTCAAGCTCGTCAACGGCATCGGGATGGACAAGATGAACACTTACGGAAGCGCGATTGTGCGCATTTGTCAGGAGTCAGCGCCGGCTCGACCGGCCGCGCCTCCGGGGCCGCTGCCACAAGGCGCCACCACCACCCCGTGCAACAAGCGTAAGACGCCCGCCACCGGGTCCGGCACCGCCACCGGCACGACGGTTGCCGTCGCTAAGAGGCCCTCGGGGTGGCCGTACGCGTCGTCGCCGGCGCCCAAGCCGGGCATCCCATGATGCAGGGCCGGATGGGCCGTCGCTCTGGTCCACATCCGCCGACGAGTAGTTCCGGCCGGGGTGTGTGTTGCTGTTGGTTAGGAGCGCAAAACGGTTCGTTGGCATTTACACGGCGTTGTTGTCTGGTGAGTTTTATTTCAAAAATGATTTCCGGCGTTGCCGCCGACGTTTCCCACGGAGTGCGACATTTGCCGTGTGCGCGGCGGCACTCAGCTCCGCCAACGGCGGCGAGATGGCTCAAAAACATGTTCGAGAAGTGCCAAGAGACTGACAACTACTCCGCCGTTGTGCCATCCGATGAAAACAAGGGGGGGAAAAAAAACATATCTTTTCTACGGCTCGCCGACTCACGAGACGGCCTTCGCGCTGCGTACGCAACGTGTGCCCCTCTGTACGCTCCGCGCTCTCAACGCGGCGCGCAGCGCCGTCTGAGCGGCTTGACGGCGAAAAAAAGACTTAGCGCCTTCGACGTGTGAAGAGACGATGTTCACACCTTTCGACTCGGATAGGGCTCGAGGCGCCGTTTTGTCAGACGCCGTTCACGGGGCGTGCGTCGTGTGTGCTGCGCTGCACGCTCAGCGCTGTTAGCACGGCGCGGAGCGCCCTTGGGGCGGCGAGAAGGCGCCGGACGGCGTTCACGGTGTCGAGGTGTGAAGAGACGCCGTTCACACTTCATGCTATGAACAGGGCTCGGCTCGCCGGCTCACGAGGCGGCCTTCGGGGTGCGTTTGCAGCACGTGCTCCTCTGTACGAGCCGCGCTCTCCACACGGCGCGCAGCGCCGCTAGAGCGGTTTGACGGCGAAAAAAAGACTTAGCGGTTTGGAGGTGTGGAGACGAATTTCACACCTTTCGACTCGAATAGGGCTTGAGACGCCGTTTTACTGAGGCCGCTCAGTGGGTGTGCTGCCCGTGTGCTGTGCTATACGCTCGGCGCTGTTTGCGAGGCGCGGAGCGCCCTTGGGGCGTCGAGAAAGCGCCGGACGGCGTACACGCCTCGAGGTGTGAAGAGGCGCCGTTCACACTTTATTCTGTGAATAGGGCGCAGATTGCCGGCTCAAGAGACCGCCTTCGCGCTGCGTG